GTCTTAACTTTGTTTTCAGGCTACATAGCTGCTGCCATTTCTACCCTTTGAAAGTTTCACTTCTGAGGCAGTGGCATAGTTTTACTTCTGCTCCCAGATAACTTCTGAACGCATCATTAATTTCTTATTAATGCATTAAGACTGCATAAGACTATAATTAATTTCAGTGAAGAACAAATATAATCACCTCCTCTAGATGAGTTGCTGGTAGGGGTGTCTTGGATGTCTTCCATGAGCAATATTCATGAGTGTGTGTACATTATTTCCCATCCCCCAAATTGATTCCAGTCTTCTCTGTAAATTACATTTACATTCATGTACTGCATTAGGATTTCTTTTATGTCCTGCAGAACTGGCTTGTGCTTTTCATTTTTGAGTCCACAGATAAAAGTAGTTCAGTAATTTCCAAACAGAAAACCAGCTAGCATTTTAGTCATTAGGTGCCTTTCAGTTTTTGTAAAATAACTTTGAGTTAATAGTCTGACTGATACTGCCTTAAGTTTTTTAATAAGTGGATTGTGTTAAAGGAAGATTTAGAAGTACTGTATTTCAGTTAAAATGGACTAGAAGTTCTGGCTTTGAACTTACTGAGATTATACTAAAACATTTTTAATGAGCTAAGTGCATATAATAACTGGGATATAGTAATGGGCTCCTTGTGTCTTGAAGCTAACTGTCACCATCTCTTTGCATGTAAGGGAATGATAGGTACAGAACTGTTGAAGTTGGAGCATGTTTATTCTGCCTGAAGTTTCAGAGTTTGTGTATTAGCTTATACAATTGAGTTTAGTATTTTCAGTAGATGAACTGGACAAAACTGTGTAATAGGACTGATTAAGACCACTGAAGACTGTAAGAAAGTTGTTGTGAACAAGCTGCTTTAGTTGTTTGTTGTCTGATTTCATATTCACAAGTAGGATATATTTAGTAATAGTGAAAAGCTCTGTCTGGAAGAAGATCCCAATGTGTTAATTGATAATACATGTAAATAACTGGTAGGAATCCTCCAAATGCGTATATCAACAGCTCCTCCTTTTGTAACTTCCAGGTCGATTCCAAATAATGAGTTTTGGAATGCATTTGAATAATCTTTTCCCTTTTACTTGTATTACTGCTTCTTTTATGCATTATTTGATCCTTTTGCTGGAAGAGACTGAAATACTACTACATTTCTATTGATCTCAATAGCCATGTTCATAATTCATATGAAACACACCAATGTACTATGTAGTACTACTATCTCAAATCTATTATGATTCCCTAGCTTTGTTGATTCAGTTTGTTGGGAATTCCTTTTTCCAGACCCAGATGCTTGGCTTCCATTAGCATAAACTGGCTAGAAAGAAGGAGTTGAATTTTAAGCTCACTGATGTGCTGTTTGAATACCAGTGACCAGCAAGATACAGGCTTTGAAGATTTTGCAAATTTCTCCCTCTTATGGGGAATATAAGTATGAATGATAAAGGCTAAATGAGGAGGCAGAGTCTTGTAAGCAGAGATAATCTGCTGAAGCAGCCTGCAGGCTTGGCCTACATTCCCTTGCTATGAATATAGAAAAGAAGGGAGATTCTTAATCCAGCCACTTGGAAAATACTCCATTAAAGATGGAGCAAAGTCACCCTCATAGGGAATATGAACAAGAGCATTCATAACTAAATACTTCTACATGCAGCACTCTCAGGCAAGACTTGCTTACACTAGCTCACCTTTTTTTATTTTCAGTCTGGAACTCAGCTCTGCATGGGTTACCTGTTGCTGATTTGAGTCATGAAACTGGAGACAACCTCCACTGGAATCTTATCTCCTTTACAGAAAGTTGAAGAGAGAAGCAGTTACAAACAAAACCCATTTTTCCATCCACTGAAGTCGAGAGTAAAGGGTGAATCCTTTTCCAAAGGACTAAATCTTTGGCTGGTAATCTCAGTACATCCTCCATTATTCTGGAAGATATATCACCTTAGCTTTACCAAATGACAAACTGTTGTGCAGCGGTCTTTGAACTGTTTAAAATCCGAGAAGCCCAGTATATGAGGCTTAGTGGCCACATACAGGCAGATTCTTTATTTGATAGGGTTTTTTCCCTGCCCCTTCCATTTTTTTAATCAAGTCTTCCCAAGCTTTAAGTCTGGCTTTTTCTACCTAAGTGTGTCTGTACTTACCTTTTTTAGATTTAGGGAAAGGATATCAAAGACTGAGAAAGAGCTGACAAAATGTTAGGAAGGACAGTTCAGAGCAGTTCCTGATACAAAAGTAAAAGTATACCAAAGGCTTATTTTGCTTCTAGTCACTATCATTAGTAAGAAAAGACCATGAAGACCCTAAACTAAAATTCTCATACTCTCTATTCTCAGACCTATTGAATGTGAATGGCAGAAGCTTTTCTTCTCATTATTATTATTACTTAGGTGGTAACAGTTGTGCTGTAAAATACTTTTCAAAAACTGTGAAAACTGAAATAGCCAAGAGTACTGTCCAGCTTGCAGTTGATTTAGGGCTTTGGTAGTAGTTACTTAACAGTTGCCATTAAGTCACTGTTTGGCAGTTGAATACATAACCAGCTGTGTTTCAGAGATTAAAAAAATATGTATATAGAGTGAATTGAGCTTCATTTGTCTGTATTTAGTCCAGAGATGGTTACCTCAGAGATTTCTCAGCATATGCTCATAGAGTAATTATCAAGTGTATGTTTCTGTGCTTTAAGAAAATTATTCCCAAATAAAATGATTGCATGTTTTGATGTCAAGTCTGGTGAAGAATGGAAAGACTCAACAATCTAGCTCAGGTTTACTACGTCAGGAACATTGTGTTAGCAAGTCTTGGGTTGTGGCCATTTTGACATAAGTGAAATTTTTGAGCTATATGAGTTAAGTTTGCCACTTTGAATATTTAAATGTTTAAACACAAGAAGACAAGCTCAAAATTTCTCTTTACTCTTAGCCAATCCACTCTTAGGATTTTTGTGGACTTGATTCCTAATTTTTCATCACTTGAAGCTGTAAAAGCTTAAATGTCTGCCTCTTATCTGTAGCTATCTTCTCATCTTAAAAGACTAACTTAGGACAGTAAATTCTGTTGTTAGAATTCTCCACTGATGGTACAGTCTTAGAGCAGAGGCTAGAAAAATTAATGTTGGTTTAGGCTTTCTCAGCTAAAAGAAAAGCATGTCTGCTTTCCTGTATGGGATTTGCTTCATGGAAAAGAACATGGATTTGTTAAAATAGAAGATAGCAGTTCTTTGGATCTGAGACTCGTTCGTTGGCTTATTGTCAAGGCTACAACATGTCATCATCTCTCCCTTCTCTCTCCCTCATTACATTCCTTGTAATGTTACATTAGCCAGACTGATTTCTCCACTGAAAGGACTTGAAATGTGAATTTGAGATTGATTGGTTGCTACAGTGCTTAAACAAGCGTAGATTGCTACAGTATAGCAAGGCTGTTTTAGAAAATGGTTCTATAACAAAGCTTAGAGTTTCTTTGCTTTCCCACTGAGTATTTTAAGTACAATCTACTTCGATTATAGAAAGAATCAAAGAGGAGCAGATGGGGGAAAAAGTTTGTTAAACTGAAAATTATAATAAATGTATGTGTGAGGATTTTAAAAATGAATCACTAGAAGTACTAAATGGTGACTTTCCCTCTGAAAATTGGAGTAGAAATGTTGGTAAGGCTGTTTCTGAATAACTAGAGGTGGGAGGGATCTGATATACTTCTACTTGGCAGTTTCTTCCCTTTATTCTCAAGTGGTTTGTCAGACTATTGTAAACTTTGTTTTCCACGGTGGGATTGAAATGACTGCAGTGATGTCATGCAAGGATTCCACTTTGAGTAAATAAAGTCCTGACTCATTGTCTGTAAAGTAAAAGTATTTTCAGTGTTAATGCAAGATAAATAACAAACCGAAGCAAATCAGAAAAAAACCCCTAAAGATTCCTGTTATTACAAAAATGAACCAGGAGAATAATGTGGCTTAACAACTTCTGTCTTCAAAGTAACCTGTTAGTAAAGGTATTGAAAAGAGTTTCAGATAACTTAGGAATTACATTATTCATTTAGTTTAAAAAGCTGAAATGTGATTCAAATAATTTCTATCCTGGTTGTGTAAACTGAATAAGAACCTTTCTCAATGCAAGCTGTCATTTAACCTTTTCTTCTTTCCCTTCCATTCTCTTTTCTTGCCCCTTTCATACCAACTGAAAACAAAAACCCTATTTTTTTTTAGTTTGCAAAGGAAACCAGCTTTATGAGAACCAGGAATAAACTGATGAACTGACACCTCCCTGAGCCTGAAGATAAACTGCTTGAATGCTTTCATTGCATTAAAAGGGAGGGAAGAATACGTGACTGTTAGATCACAGTCACCACAGAGAGAGAGGTTCCCTGGAGAGCTACCTCAAGCCCTTTAAGTAAAAGAATTGCTATAGGGAACGTTATACAGGAAAGCATCCAAAGCAGGGAGAGGTTTTTATTTATTGGATAGATGGAAAAATGGCTCTAATGTTGCTGCCCTGATGCCACTCCAACAAGGAGCTTCCTCCAGGGAAAGAAGATAGCACATTCTGACATCACTGGAGGAATATCTAGTGTATTTGGGTGCTGTAGAATTAATTTAATTAACAAATTATTTTATCTCTGTGATTACAAATTGAATGGCATGGGTTTACCAGAAGCTTTTCTCCATAGATCACAGGAAGGATCATATTACTGGAATGTGTTTGGGGGTAGTCTTGACTGGAAATACACATTTCAGGTGGGAGGCAATTGGTGCCTTTCAGATCATGTTGGTATGGTATATTAGGACAGCAAGAAACAAGGTAGAATTCACCATGGCTTGGGAAAAGGTTGAGACTCCAAGAAACAGTGAGTTTTTTTGTTCTGTTTTGAGCAGACTTTTTCTTTAAGTACAGTAATAGTTATTTTTTTTGTAGTTCTATATTACATAATTTGTGTATAAACTTACTTATGTTTCCTGAAACTTGCCATTTTTTTCACTCTTTCAGCCGAAAAAGCTGCATGCAGCTATTCTGAAAATGCTGGTTCTAGATGGTGAATCAGTCTATACTTTGACTTCTCACCCTATTTTGCTGCTTATAGCCAGGATCATCCTTGTGAATTCAAGAGACAAACTTGCATCTCTTCAGGTAAGAAATATATGACTAATATTTATGACTGCCAGCTACTCGTCAATTGGTTCTCTCATTCTTTTCATCGTACCTAGTTGAATCATTATAACTGTTATAACATGTGGAGGCTACCTTAATTCTCTGTTGTGCCTTGGACATTAAGAAGATACGATGAACATCTTGAGAGGGTTTTTGTCTTTTCTACCTCCTTTATAGTTTAGCAGCAGGCTGGTTGGTAGCAGGACACTCTGCAACTGGGGGACTTTTAACAGCAGCAGCTTCTCTTTATTGCATTCCAGTTGAACAGAATTTGGCTGGAGATCAAAATGCCACATGGTCCCTCTTTATGCTTGGCTGACAACATCCATTCCCAGCTGGGTCTTTGTATGAGTGATGAATTAAACTGTGTGGGAGATGTTGGCTGAACTGCATTTCTGGAAGCCAAGCTCTTCCATCGTTTTCCCTGTTATTCACAGATGAGTGCAGTTGAATTTCAGCAATTGGGTCAGTCAGGGAGGCAGAAAATCTACCTGGTGTAGAGAATTCCCTTGCTGCCTCCCCTTAGACTGACATAATGGGGGGCCACCTTCTACACAGTGGAGGTTCAATTACTTGTGGCTACATCAAGTTTAGATAATAGTTCAAAGGCAACAACTGATAAAAACTTTAATCAACAGATGAATGTAGCAATTAAAGCTGGCCATTCTTTCTCATTTCAGCTTGATTCAAAGGAATTCTCTTAATCCTTTTGCTTCTTTAAGATTTAGTGCGAATAAATTTAAAACAGAGTAAAATACACAAAATGTATTATCTAAAGCATTAATAAAGTCCTGTTTTATTAAAAAATGCTTTTTATATGTGAAAGATTAAATGCATAAAAATAATCCAAAAATTCTTAACTTGGCTCCCAAGTCTCACGTTGCTGATGGAATATTGTACAGAGTTCGCTGGCTTACCTGAAACTTTTTAAATATGTTCTCTCTGATTCTAACATTCCTGAGTGGCAAGCGTCATGCCGCAGGAAATTGTATCATTAAGCTGGATACTCAGTTGTGTGGGAAAATGAATACTTCATTATATAAAGCTAACCTGAAGTAATTTTAAACTTCTTTAGATTGCCTTTAGGTTTCTAAGTAAATAATGAAATGTTGGGATTTGACCTTTTTCACAAAGTCCATTGTTTGTGTACTGTCACTCTGTTCAGCTTGATATCCGAAGTCATCTTTCATTGCTTTTTGAGATAGATGCAATTATTCTTTTTGATAGTTCCTTTCTAGGGACATTACAGTCAATTACATGTGATTGGTTTAGATGTTTATGCTTGAATACTGTGCAGCCTTTAATTCGGTCTGATCTAACCATACCTGTATAAAATATTCAAAAGGTAGGTGCCTCTCAGAAGTGATCAAACCTCTGTTTCATAGAAAATAATTGCTGTGCTAACAGTGGCAGCATAACTAATAATCATTAGAGCCTGTGTAGAGGTATGCCCTGTGTTCACAGATGATAATCTAAGTATAATTTTGAGAATGCAATATTATATTATCAGTTAGCTTTTCCATGCATTTCCACCTAGTAGAGAGATGCAGCTAGAGAGAGATAAGATGTGCTGGGGAACTTAATTGCATGTACACAACTTTCTAAAATCAGGTATTTGCTGTTTTGTTAGCTTGCTCAGCTATAAAATGATTACTTAGTTCAATAAGGCATTTGCCCTTCTGAAATCCCACATACAAATATTAATACTTTCATTTGTGATTGTAAAGTGTTCTCATGAGCAGTTCTCGTCCTCTTCCACCTCTCTTGGTTGCCTTTCTACTGCCACCTGAAGACATAAAAAAAGGTTAAACAGAATGGGAAAAAATGCATAGAAGGGCAACACTGGGTGATCAGAAATACTGAATGGCTTCTATACAAAAAGTAACTAAATAATCCAGGACTCTTCAGGCTGGAAAGATTACTGAAGATTGAGATCATGGCTGTCTATTAAAATTGTGAATATGACACAAGAAGATAAGGAGGAAAAAGCTTTTTTTTTTTTGTCTTTTTCTGTTGCAAGAATTAGGAGGTATGAAATAAAAGTAGCAAGTGGCTGTTCCAAAATAAGCACACACAAGTATTTCTTCTATCTTCTGTTCACAGAGTTTCTTAACAGATTGTAGTCCTAAAGACTTGCAGGTTTCAAAGAGCAGCTAGAGAAATTAAGAGGAAAAGCCCATCAAACTTAGAACACTGTAGAGCTGCTTGAATATGTTCATCTTTATGCTAGGTTAGTGCTTACTTTTTATATAAAATAGCTATTTTGGATGGTTTATAATTTTTAGAAATCTGGATTGAATAGATTACAGAACCTGCATTTTAAAGCCATTTATCCTTTTTCATTTTAAAAGGGATCTATTCTTGTTATTAACTTGAAATATCCATATTTTCTTTCAGACATTATCTTGGTGGACTCTAAGATGTGTGAGTATTCACCAGCAGTTGTTAGAGGAGAGATCACCTGAGCTATTTACTCTTGCCCAGACCTCTATAAAACAAGGTATGTTTCTAATTACTGGACTTACTGGCCTACGGCATCAATTGTAAGATATCATAGGGGAAGGGATTTTGTAGACACTACTCTTGCAACATGATGCTTATCAGATGCTTATGTAACTACAGAGATTATAGAGGGAACGGAATTGATTTAAATCGACATGGACTTGTACGGCACATGCTATTTTCTGGCCTCTAAGATGAAAATGGGAGTATGTGATTGCAGACAGATGTTTTCTTCCCCTGTGCTTAGCACTGTTAGCTTATCACAAGCTTACCTGAAGTCATTCTGTAGAGTTTTCATTCCTTATTTAACTGAGCTCATTTAGGTTTGAAAAGGGAATGTCTTTTTTCTTCTGTATCTTCATGGGGGAGATAAATTACTTTTTTCCTTTTTTTCTCCATCCTCACCTAAGTTTTGAGACTTGTTACCTCTATATTATATGTAGAGCAAATGGACAACATTAAAACTAAACTATGTAATATATATATATTGATGTTTACAAAAGCATAATGTCAAAAGTTAAAATGTCAAATGTAATTATATCACTTGGGTTTTTTTCTAAGAGGAATAAACTCTTATGTAGACTGTTAATATCAGTTGCTGTAGCAAGTGATAAAGCTGGAAAAAGGAGGCAGGCTTTTATGTGCATTTGCCTCTCACCAGTTAATTACCTAAGATTCTTCATTTAATTTAACAAACCTGAAACTTCCAACCAATTAGATTTAAGAAACTTTCTATTGTATTTAGAGATGAGTTGTCCTATATGTTTTATTTTGACAAAGAAGGTTATCTTAAATGACAAAAGTTTCAAGTCTCCCCTCTCCTACCACATCTTAATGGAGCTTTTTTGATCTGAACCATATGTAGGTTTAGGCCATGCAAATTATATGTAAAATAGGAAGTGGGTTTTGGTACTTGGAGAACTTCCAAACAGGTAACAAAGATGTTGGTATAGTAATGAAATTGAGCAGAGGATTTTATTGGGTCCTCTGCAGTGAAGAAGCAACTGACTTAATGCTCTTACTGGATGCTAAAAGGACTGGAGTAGAAGGTTTTTGTTGCAATTGATGTAAACTATGATTTTTGGTTTGGGTTCCTTTTTTAATACTTTGTTAGAGAATTTTGAACTAACTCCTAGAGTTGTCTTGCAGAGGTAGGGGAATTTTAAGATTAAATTCTACTTATTCTTTAATCTGTAACTTCAAAATTTCTAGTTCTTGGAAAGTTGGAAGTGTTGCTGATTTAATGCACATATTAGAAAGTAGTTGATAGGTGTAATTTAAGCATATCATGATAAATTTGTTGACATGGTAATTTATAGGCTAAGTACTAGGGATGGAGGTTGGACTTTAACGTGTGCAAAGAATGAAATCTACATTGCATTTTTAACTTCCAAAATAAATTATAGCAAATTGATTTTTACTTCAAAAAGTGGGTGTTGTCAGTGTAGTGGGTTAGTCTTACAAGTTTAACCCGTTTAAATGCTTGTATTAAAAATAAAAATTCCTTAAAATGGGATTTCCAAGATATGTTGCAAAATCTAATCTCGCACCTACTTCTCATAGCCATTTTAAAAACAGAGTTGCATTGAGGTGGTTAACTGTTCCAGAGGATTATTTTGTTTAGTTTGATTAAGAATAAACTTTTTGAGGAAAAAATTGTTGTTGCTTAGTTTCAATGTAGTAAGGCTTGAATATATTTGTGTGTTAGGTTTTACAGTACTTCTAGAATATTTTCTAAATATTTACTTTAAAAAAAAGTCTATGTATTTTATATTATGAAGTAATGGGTGTTGGTGTGCTTCTGTCAGATAAGGAAGGTTAAGGAGATATGTTTGTAAATTTTTTTTTTTTTTAAAAAGCTTAGAAACGAAATAGTCTTCTGCTGATTTCTAGGCAATTTTTTTTTGTTGTTCTGAGTATGTGTTCCCTAGATGCCCAATGTCAAAGATACTTAAATGCTAGCAGTTTTGCAGTTCTATTTGAGTACTGCAATTCTTGTTATTATGTTAACTTTGGAGAATGCAGAGCACATGAGAACACTTTTGGCTTCTGTTAAGTAGATAAAGTCTGTAATAGAGAAATTTGTAGCACAGTTATGTGACTGTTATTTTTTCTTCTTGGAAATACTTAAAAACTTGGAACAAAACTGAATGAGAAGTATTCATAAAATTAATTAAAATTGACTAGATGATACTGTGTAAAGATACAGTAGTTTGTGCAGCCCTGATCTGTGTTGAGGACGCTGCTGCATATGCACAGATACTAAGTACTAAGATGTCTGTTCTCAGTGACCTGTTTTGAGACTCCTGGATATGAATTTCAAAGAAGATGTTGTAAAGTATGCTTGAGTCTGGAGTGAGTTTTTCCAGACAGTTTTTGCTGCCTGCTGTCTCTTAACAGTTTCCTTACTTTTTAATTAAAGCTATCTTGTATTTCAAACAAGTACCTTCATATTCTATAAAATAAATACTTAATAAACCTTTTAAATAGTCTTTGATTAGGGCTTGAAAAAGCCACTTGCTCATCTGTATCAACTTGACTAGAAAACTTTGTCTTAATTGGTAGAGAAAAAGACCTTCAAATTCAGGAGAAATTATCTTTTCTATTTAAAATACATTGTTCTCAAGTGTAAGGTCAACATCACCTGAGTAGAAGGCAGCTGCAGTGATTCTCTGCTCTTCTGAAGCAGCTGTTGTGCAGAACCAACAGGGCTCAGTGCAGTTTCCCATGTCTTTGGCCATGTGCTAAACATGGTTTGAGATGCCAGAAGGATGTCTCAAGTTTGGGACATCAGTGCTTCTGCACAGATACTTCAATAGTAGTAATGATGTGAAGCTTTCTACAAAGGTCCTTGAAGTCTCAAATGCCTAAATTTATCAAGTTTTGGGATTAGCACTGTAAGTAAATGATAAGGAGTGGTAAGACCACTTCTCAATGTATCACTTTAGTTTGTTATAGCAGTATATGTGGTTTTAGCACAAGCAATTTTATGTTCAGATCATTGAATCTTGTCAGCTATGGAAAATCAAGAAGTTATGTATGATTATAGACTATAACCTGTTTTGTTTTTCTTTGAAATTGAATAAAAATCATTCAACTGGAAGGTTGCATTTTTGTGTGGTTTCCACATAGGTCACCTGCACATTCAGGTTCTTGTAGGCTTTGTTGCACTGACAACAGCACTTCAGGATTTAGTGGCTCAAACTGTGCTAAAGAGTCAGTGCAAATCTGTTTGCATTTGTATAAAACCATCAGTACATTTTTGAGTGCTTTTAATAATACCTCATAGAAAACCCCATTTTATTTCTTCCTCTTGTAAGTAGGATTTTTGTCCTTTGGGAAACCATCTGAGTGACACTGTATATGTATAGAGTGTGAAAAGCAGGTTAACGTAGCAAATGTCCCAAATCATTCACTGAATTTTTTTTTTCCCACTCTTTTTACAAGAAACAAAGCTTTTGTTAAAAAGGTAGATGTTTTATGGTCCTGTAGGCATTATTCTCTTATTTAAAAATAGTATGTGTTTAATGGTAAATATGGACAAAAGCATTAAAATCTCAGATTGTTTCTTAATGAAGAGTATACATTACTTAAATGTGAGGTTAACGTTTAGCTAACTTTCTCAGTTTTGAAGTAATGTGTTTGAAATAGACTTTGTGTTAAAAGTGGGGATTAAATTGCACAGGCTTTGTTTCTAAATAGTTTCAGTCTCTTGAGGGGTTTTTTTAAGGGTTAAATTGTAACCTACTGCATTCTCTATCCTACTTTAATTGAAAACCATTGGAGTAGTATTTTTAAATTATCAATTTGCTTCCATTAAACAAATTATCTAAATTCAGACTTTGAAAAAAATTAAGTTACTAGGCAGGATTCTTATTTACTGAATTTTTATTTACTGCAAGTTCTTATTTACTGAATTAAAAAAAGCTGTGTAAAAATATGTTTAGACTTAGCAGCTTTCTATATTAATTGAAAGATTTTGAGGATTAACAAGTACCCCCGAAAAAAAAGCCTTAGAGGTTTAAACAATAAAATCTGTACAAGCTAGAGTTGACTTCCAATCTCTAAATTAAAAGGTTAGAGAAAAATGTTTAAAAATTCCTTGACAATATTAGTTTTTAATATAGTAAGACTTTTACTAATCTTAATAAAGCACGTTTGAAAAATTAAGCAGCCATTAAGTAACAATATCTATCTTAATCTTATGTACCAGTCTTTTCAGGTACAGTGATGCTGTGAGATTTTAAATAGCTCTATTATATAAATATTTTCTGGCAAAATAAAGAAATAAAGCCCAAAGCAAAAAACCCACTTCAATTTAAGAATGTCACATGAATTTTTTTCAACTTAATGTTCTGTATTTTACTATGCAAGTATATTCTTTTGTCATTTACCGTATTATGATAGAAGCATCTGTATTTCTTATATATTTAAATTCTGTGCTGAATGAAAAAAATAAGTCTTCTTTCCTAAAGATTTCAGGTTTACTTACAAAGATATTTTCTCCTGTTCAGTTGGAGAACATGATCTTCATCACTCAGCAAATCAGTAATTATGAAAAAAAAATTTAAAAAATCCCCACACAAGCAAAAAAATCACAAACAAAAAAAATACCCCTAAAGAGTGCTAAGTCCCCATTCAATATGCAGTCTGCTGGTGAAACTTTCTCATTTGAAGCCTGCTACTGAAGGGGAGCGTATTACCTCAGTGTTCTTTAGCAGGTCTAAGACAATTAGAGTTGTTTATTTCCTGCAAAAGTAATACATCCCAATTCAACTTTGCTGTAAAATATAAGCAAAGATTAAGTTTTTGTTTGTTCTGATAGTAATCCTTAGATATAAAACTTGAAAAACGCTTTAAATTGTGCATATCTCTCATACACTGACTGTGAATTTTTAAATATGTGGAGGTGTAAAGAACAATAGGTCTCCTTTAAGCATAACAGACTTTGTCCTGGTATTTTAAATGTATTTTAAAAATATCAGTCTCCTGGACTGCATCCTGACAGCTTTTCTTTTTCTTACTTTGCAGTGACAGAAGCAGAAACATTGTTCGCAGGTGGTGAAAGCTGGCACTTAGCAGTTCAGTTCCATCTTGAGTGTGCCTATACATTTTTATATTACTATGAGTATAAAAAAGCTAAACAGTGTTTCAGTATGGCTAAAGACATAACAAAACTGCAGATTAATCTCACAGGTAAGTTTTACTTGTACAGTCTAGGAGGGTGGCTGGTTAGAGCAAAGCAACCTATAGCTTGTTGGGTTTTTTTACATATCCAAGTGAAAAAGAACTGTATTTTGGAAAAATTTGACTTTTGTCAAGAAGGACTTATTTGTCTTCTGAGAATTAGCATTGCCTGGAAAAGGGAAGAGAAATATGCCATCTTGTTACAATACCATCCCCAATATGGGTTTCTGAGCAGTTGTGGTATTATGATCCTTCCTTCTCATGTTTCATAGCAAATTCTATGTCCAGTTGTCTCTGTTACAGGACTCCTGAAACTAGTTGGTGTCATTTCTTATTTTTTATTAAAAACATCAGTGCCTGTGATGATACTTAAGCTATAAAAAATTAATTAACTAAGAACAAGTAAAATCAAGGTGGCAGGTGGGTATTCACTGATATTCCTCAACTTACAGCTACATGTTGGATTTTTTTTTTTCCCTTTAAAGGAGATCCTTAGGTTTTGGATTAATAATTTCCTTAAATCTAACCTAGGAAAAAACCTCTTGTTTGGAGGGGAGAAAAAAAGAGTTTGGATGCAGTGGAATTATTTGAATTTTTTGTTACTTCACCAAAAGGTTATGCTAGTCCCAGAGAGAGATGGTGGTGATACAATATCTTGGAAAAATGTTGTGAAACTCCTAGAAGTTCTGTGGTTTATCTCCATAAATCTATTAGAATAATTATGAAGGATGTCTTAACCTGAAGGCAAATGAACTGAAGTGAACATGTGGGAACTATTGGCATTCTAGACAAATTCATTTGACATGCATGTTTGGGTTAAATGGAAGGAATGTTACATCATAAAAAAAGACTTTGCTTTAGTGTAAAAATTCAACCTCTAGCAAAGTCATTTTTAAGGCTTTTGGAAGGAATTTCCATTTTAGGAAAAGATTTTAAGAGGTTTTTATTCTTTAATGGTTGTAATCCTTGCTAGTTGAACATTTTATTACAGCATGGAAATGTATGCTGTTCTTAAAGAAAGAATTTAGAACCTATATTTTCCAAAGTATTTTAGAAATGTATGAATATATCATACTTGTTTTGGCTTGTGTACTTTTTAAAGTCCCATTAATCCATTAACCATCGATAACTACACAGAACAATTTCCAGTTAAAGAGAAGACTGTGGTCCTTCTTGCATGTAAATTTACTAAAATGAAGGGTGGTAGTCCAAAATAAATTTAAGATCAACAGATCTGGAGGATTAATAATGCTGGACTCTTGAAATCTGCATATTGTCTGCTTATTGTTTTCATGCCCAGTAATGCATCCCTGTGAATGCTTAATGTTCTGAATGGAACAGACAGTAAAGTCTCTCTGTGGATTCCCTCTCTTTTGTCAGGACATATAGTGGCATAAAGTAAACAAATTTCCACCCCCCTTCTCCCCCAGCTAAAACTCACGTGATACATATTTTCCAAATAAAAATGATTGTTTTGTTTCTGTAATAGTGAGGAATTCTTTGCTTAAAAAGAATGGAGTGTATGTGCATCTCAACATAAACAAATCTCAGTTTCTGAGTGGTAGCAAGTAAATTTATTGGTAACCAGCATAACTTTGCAAGTATTTTATTAGGCTCTTTAAGCAGTAAGACATAATAGGAAGTGAATTACACATAATGACTTTCAAGCATTATTAAAGTTGAGAATTGAGTGCTGCTGTGTAAAATTAGTATGAATCATTACCTGGTATTTCTCTCTGTGTGTCTCTCCTCTGCAGTGTACCTTGTGATTTTAAGGTGATATTTTCAGAACCTTTTTAATTTCTTCATAGACTCTTAACACAAGACTTTCCCATTAAAAGGAGTAATTGGTAGAAAAGGAGGAATCAGTTTGGTTTCTGACTTCTCCACTGCTCTTTTTCCACCTCAAGGAAGAAAAGGGGGTGCTGCTATTTCAGTGCTATTTCAGTAGTAGATGATTCTTACTAACAGTGGCCTTATCCTCAGGCCTTTGTCACATGAGCAGTCGGTCATCTTTACCTCGGAGATTTTATGTCCTGCAAAATTTTCAAAATGATAATGAAATTAAGGACTGTACTTAATCTTAATTGTTTCCACAAAAGCAATGGTGGATCAGCATTCAGTCCTCCATTTCTGTTATTTGACTTTCTCAGCTCACTGTATCTGAGCATTGTATCATAGTAATAATAAACAAGCAAACTTCCAGATGTTGTAGGGTAATTTTTAGCTTCATTTTGGCTCTGGTCAGGATTCTGTTACTTTAAGTTACCTCCCTGAAATTGTTCTATAATTTCTCTGATTGCTGCTTGCCAACAGAGGAAGAACAGACGTGTTTTTCTTTTCAGTTTGGTATAAATGTCAATTGACACCCTAAAAACTGGTAAAAGTTGCTTGAGGGTCTGATAAAGAACTGAAGAAACAACACTAAGAGGAATTTCACATTGTGCATTTTGAATATTGATTAATTCAGTAGACAACCTTCACTTGCTTGCTGTTTCACTCTTCCCATGTTACTTTTATGGTATCTTATATGCAGTATTATGGTAACATCATGTCTGTGATCCTTCTTCACAGACCTAGGTCTTCAAATGAAGATTTTAAATATTTAAAATTATGACCTGTAAGATATTACAGGATTTTAATTTACCTAAATGTCTCAATGTTGTCATTCACTTTTACCAGATAAATTGAACAATTGTTTGTGGTTTATAAGTAGGGAATTGATGAAACTTGATAACAATGAGTTTTCAAGAGACAATATGGTGGGTTATGGGGAATTTAACTAAAAGTTGGTTTGCAAGACCTGTCTAGCTGTGTTTGTATATTTGTAATATATATTTCTTTGTATGTCATAGCTAGCTGTGAGAGTGCATGTGGTTCACTGCAAAGAGATCAAGCAGAGATAAACTTCATAGGTTAATTCTCAATGTGTTTCTCTTTATTTCGCTTTTGTGAGCAAATTTCTAGTATATGATGAAATTACTAGTTTTTAGAGTTCATTAGTATAAACTTGTATTAATTTTCTGTAGGTGCTTTGGGGAAGAGAACACGATTTCAGGAAAAATATGTTGCACAGCTTATTCTGAAAGTCCAAAGAACGGATGAATTCCTTCTTCCTCACAGTGAACTAAGTCCAGCTCCAACACCTCTAGAAAAATTAACAATGGTATGTATTTGAGAATTGCTTTAATTTCTTAAAGTGAAAATGTTCTGAAGCTTTCCATGGGTGTCTGTAAGGAAAAAGTGTGTGGTGCCTAGGAAAAACTTACTTGTGGTTTCTCACAGTTTTTGGAAAATACGTGGGGCAGTTGTTTGCCTAATGTTAAAGGACATGGGATTAAACAACATATGACTGTCTGCAATACAGATGTGGCTACTCAACTAAAAGCATGTTTGCAAATATGATCTTCTACAGTTTATGTATGAATGACTAAGAACGATGCCGTTAGGAAAACAAGTGAGACACAGATTTTCAAAACAGCCTGCAAGGCATTGCAGAATTGCACAGATTCCTGAGGACCGAAAAACACATTTAGTAACAGTGTGAAGATAGGAAGTTGGTCTCGGTATTCCTACTGGCATGAATTATGTGACTTAGCCCTACTCATCTTAAGGGTGTACATGATGACTTCAATTATAAATTACTCAACAACCACTGTGTTGTTTTGGGATGGCATTTTTCCTTCATGAGGAGAAGTTTTGGTCGGGATTTAAAGTTATAGAATTTACTAAAGAAGCCAGAGGCATTATGGTCCAAGATTTATTCTTCAGATTGGAAAGCCTTTCTAAAAAAAGTTATGCCTTGATAGACTTCCAGGTTAAGCAGGGATCTTAAGCAAAAAAAATTGACAGTACTTCTCTATTTCTAAACTGAATGCAGAAAAATCTTAGGAGAGTATTTTAGATTTTTTTTGTTTGTCTGTTAGTGTGTCCTTAGTGTTGTATTTGGTTTGATGAAAAGACCATATATGTCACAACTTGTGCTTTGGATAGAACTACGTATAGCAACCCATTTAAGGATAGTGAGAGCTCGGGGGTGGCCGCTTGGCAAGTGTCAGACTTAGTTACAGACTTCAAGTACAGCTTTTCTAGAACTAAATGATAGGATACATTGTTCCCACAGAGCCCCTAACTGGGATATTGTATGACTTTTTTCCAGTTAATTGCAACTTTCTGAAGAATTTGCCTTTGTAGTCTATATCTGATAAGAACTTCAGTTCAGAATAAAATGACAACATGGTTTCTATAAAAATGGCAACACTGTTTTAGGATGTAGGTATACCCTGGGATTAGATCTATTATCCTTGTTAATAAAGTACTATATTCATATATCCTTTTAAGTTTAGCAGAGTTTGAGGAAGAAAATTGGGTATTTTAGAACCTTTAAAAATAGTCATGCTTGTGTTATCCATGCTTTCCTACTAAAACTTACTGAATGTTTATTGAAAATAATGCTAGAATAAGTAAGCATATCTACTTTTCTGAAAAGTAAAAATGTGATGCTAGAAAGGACTTGAGAGGTTTTGGCTACAGGGAGGAAGTTGAATTTTGTGGAAGTCTGAGCAATTGTATCATAATTCTGTCATAAGCTACTCAGGCTGCCTATTAAGGAAAGTGAGGCTTTCTATTCCCACAGTCTACTTCTGGAAAAAAGAAAAATTTTAAAATTGGAACCTTTTATTTCTGCATTTTTTTGTGTTAGAAACTCTAGAAAATAATATTAATAGAACCATGTGCTGTTTTGAGGAAAACCTGAGGTATTTCAAGTTCAGACATTTTGTTGACATCATGTGTGAGTGTTCTGTCACAGGTATTAGACCAGGCTTGACTAAGTAGGCTCTCCATGTGTGCATTGAATTTCCAATTAAAGGTTTTCTTTTTTCCCCTTTTTCTAGTGTGTCTTTATTGATGATGTAGTATCAAAATACAACTTATTCATGTGTGTTTCAGTGTTAACTTTAATAGTGAGTCCTAGTGTTTCTTTTGCCAAGTCTGGTCTCAGATTTGTCAGCCTTGAGTGTGTCTTAAAGTTCTTTTAGCTAAAATTTGACTTAATGCTATTCTCCATCTACCAAAAACTACTGACATCCCTGTATCTCTGTCTGAGTTTAGGACAGATGCTTGATGTATCGTAAAGTTGCTCTGAATGCTGTTCATCCTTCATGACAACCAGTATTTTTGTAGCAAAAGTGGTTTGAATGATAATTAATTCTACTATTTTAGTCCATTAGTTATTCTATAATAATAATAATGGTAAATTACTTTCCATTGTGTCATTTTCTAATGTTTGTATTATCCTTTTTCAAACAAGTCTATATTTTTTCATATTTTGAAGGCATAAGTTTCTTTGCAACTGTTTCTATCTATTCAAAAGTATTTTTTCTCCTCCAACAGAATTATGATTTAAATGATGATACATTGCTTAATGAGATAAAACTAGCAGATGCTGATCAGTACCAGATACCTGATTTGTGTGCAGAAGAGCTTGCAGTAATCCTTGGAGTATGGTAAGTTAGTTTATAGTTACTTAAAAAAAACTGCATAAATTGTGATAATGAAATAATGAAGAGTTGAGTTGATGGGACTTTTTTCCTTCCTTATCATGTAGTCTGGCTAAAATGCTAAAAGATTAGCATTATACGTGGATAGCATTTTCAGTTGTCTCAGAGTGAACATTAGTGTCCAGTTCAGAATTTCAGCTGTGTTTCAGTAATTGCTATATTTTTCTTTTATCCTGGAAAAAGTTTCTATTTCTTTGAGCCTCAAGTTAATGTTTCAAATTTCAGGTGGCATGAACTACCATATGGTGATAACACTTTGGTAAATTTTGAAAACATATTTCAGAGTTTGCAATGGTCAACTCCCTATGAGGATCAACCATGTCTTTCGAGCCAAATGTTGCCCTGCTATTCAGTGCAACAGGAATACTTGTATAAATTCAGAGCATCCGTTGTTAGTTACAAGCTGTAGTACAAAGTCCTCATGGTTTTGCTCTTAAGTTTTTTTTTTTTTCTTTTCCTGGTTTTCAGAAATTGTATGCTACATGGGTTTTGAAAATTGCACAGAAAAGCAAAAAGGCTGTAGTACAAAGTTCTCATGGTTTTGCTCTTAAGTTTTGTTTTTTTTTTTTCTTTTCCTAGTTTTCAGAAATTGTATTCTACGTGGGTTTTGAAAATTGCACAGAAAAGCAAAAAGGAGCTTGAGATTTGAGGATTGTAAGCTCTCTGCTAATAAATATCTTCATTTTCTAATAGAGAAGTACTTTTTCTGTGATGTAGCCAATGACAGTTATCACACAATTTTTTTGTGTAATTTGTTTCAGAAGTATTAGTTTGAAGTAAAAATAAGTGACTTTGCTGCAATATTCATACCTCTCAAAGCACTTTTCTGACCTATGGGTTACTAAATGATGGAATCTGCAGTACTGCTGAAATGTCTTGCCCAAGTCAGAAGGTGTCTAGGAGCCAAACAATGAGCAAATCCTGATTTCCAGCTCTCAGACCAGTGTGTCCTCCACAAGGGTGCATGGATGTTATAGGATCTCTTTGTGATGGAGTGACAGCAATAACAGGCCAGCAAAAGGCTAGTGAGAGAACCCAGCATTTGTCAGTAGTTCCTTTGTGGTGTGGGGGGTTTTTGCTTGTTTTGTATCACACATTGTAACATTTCTCTCCCCCCTCACCAAAATTTGGAGGTATTTTTCCCCTTATTGTCCCATGAAGTGCAGTGGAACTCATTAGTGGAGAGAAGATTGTTTCTTTTCATATGCTCATTTCTCAGACTGCAGCTTATTGAAGGCAAAATAGTTTAACTTGGCTGGCAGCCAAACAAGACATAGCCGCTCACACCCCCCCTCCCCACAGGGAAAAGGGGATAGAATTGGAGGGGCAAAGGTAAGGGGACTCATAAGTTGAGATAAGAACAATTTAATAATTAGAGTAAAATAAAACTAAAATACTAATGATAATAATGATTATTTATATATATAAAAAAATGAGTGATGCAGAGTACGATTGGTCACCACCTGCTGATAGCAACCCCAGAGGAGCAAAAAGGAACCCCGAACCTGCAATCCCAGAAAAGCGAGGCGGAGTAATTCGTGAGAGAATCCCTCCCCTTTTTGGTCAGCTCTGGTTAATATACTGAACATGATGTAATATGATATGGAATATCTTATTGTCATATCTAACATTCAATTCTGGGTTTTGCTAATCGCTACACTTCCCCCTCCCCGTCCCTTTGCACTTGCAAACTATCCAAGCACGTTGTCCTTGCACCTTATTGACATTCTTCTCATAACAAATGACAAAAGGACCAGATACTTGCTTGGCTATAGTATTGAAGTCACTTGTGAAGTTACATGTCTGTGGTTTCAGCTATGCCCTTTAACCATTCAGTCCATCCACTGTAATCAGGAATTCATGAGAGGAATACATACTCTGGCTTCGTATTGTCTTTATTTCCTCAAGTCTTAAACTTTTCTTTTCAAAGCCACATCTAGATTCAGTTTGAGAACAAAGGAGTGGCATGAATAGTGGGTTGACATATATTCTTGGCCCAGTCACTCTTAGTCTTTCACACTGAGTCAAGTCAAGGCAAAGCCTTCCCCTTTCTGAGAAGCATTTTCACATGCATTTCATTTTTAACACAGTATTGTCTTATATTCAGATTGTATCATCCCTCCTGCCTTCACTTCTGAGGGAAATTTTAATTTGCCTATTGGTCTTTCTCATTTCTTTCTCTCTCTCTCTCTTTCTCTCTCTCTCTCTTTTTTTTTTTTTTTTTTTTGAAAGGGTAGAATTTGAATTTTGTCAGCTGGCTGCACAGTAAGTTTCTTGACCATAGTATGACACTTTGAAGCTACCACTGTCATGCTGTGAATAGTGGCTAGAAATCACCTTGTCTGCCAGCTGTGTGTGTACATTGTAAGCCAAGTGGTGTGTGGGTTTGGCAGGACTCAAGGCAAGAAGCTTGTTTAAGAAACTGAAAGCAACCAACACAGAAAAAACATTCAGTGTTGCTTCCCCATAGGAATGGCACATGTCATTCAGTGGGTGGGATAATGTTAAGCAACTGAAACTATTTCAGTTATAGATGGAGACAAGATTTGATATCCAGCCATGTTGCAGAAATGTTAGTAGAATGCCAGTTTTGAGAACTGTTCTTCTTGAGGGGATTTGGGATACAACTCTTGTGACTGAAAGGAGTTTAGGCTTGGATTACTGGCTGTGCTCTTGGTGTCTATACCAGCTACTGACATATCAGTTTGCAAGGAAGCATATACATGTTAAAGAATTTAGTGTTGTCTTTTAAGCAAAACATACTTCTCAAACCTTAGCTATAGCAAATTCTTTCATGCTTGAGGACTTTAGTTCTGTAGAGTAAATACCTCATTTCATAATTAATAAGTTGAGTTTAGAATTCCTTTAAGTTTCCAAAGAAGTTCTAACTAGACTTCACCCTTAATGGTATCTACTGTTGACTGTCACTGTTAGCAGTGGATGGTTTTTCTAAAGCAAATATGCTTTTAGAGACTGACCTGGTTTGTTGAAGAAAGGCAGCCTGCAGGTAAAGAAAGAGTAAATGAGAGCACATTTTTTCCTATGCTTTTTCACTGTGCTTGCTAGCATTTGGTTTACAGCAAATGTCACAGAAATTCACCTTAATTCAACTGAGATTTTTGTAGCTAAATAATGTTAACTCAAAATCAGCAGCATGAAGGAATGTTTGTGGGTAGCAGAACAAACTGAAAATTGTTACAACTTTTGGATAACAATTACAGTTGCATAGGATCCTATGGAATTACCTGAATACACGTTTTCTACTGTGAAGTAAGTTTCAAGTAGGTTACAATGATCAAATGGCTAAACAAAGTACTTTTACAGTATCAGTACAGACATTTTCATCTCCTCCCCAATAACATTTTAAGAGGATATAAAATACTTTTTGAAGTGTTGAAATATCTCACATCAGCTATCTGTACAAAAATCCAAGCAACATCTCATGTAGTATGCTTAAGCCAGCTTGTAAATAACATGCATGAGCCTGAATAAATTAGATTTTTTTTTAAAACTTCTCTCTGTTTCACTAATGTAAGGAAAGAACAACTTATCAGTAATCCATTTATATAAAAAAGTAGCAATGTAAACAGTAGCCAGCTGATTCTCTGTGGCATCTGGAATTTGAGGCAGTTTCCTTTAAAATGTTTGGCTATTCTATTTCTTCTCTGCAAATTCCATTTCTTCCAAATACTGAACAGTCTGCAGTACTAAATCTAAAAAAAATTTGCCTCTTATGATAATGAAATTGTAGCTAAAACAAAGTGTAGGGGGTGGGGGGGGAAACCACCTCAGTCTGCCTTGCTTAGACAAGGATTTCCTATTCCATCATATCCAGATTTTGTAATATCTGTTTAAGAATAAAGCGTCTAGAGGTGTCTTCAGATCATCTCACTGCAGGGGTAGTGCAATGTAAAGGAAATATTAAAAGAAACTCCCAGGAGTGCAAAAGCATCACTCAGGTAGGACTTTTTTGTATTTTATATGAAAATAACTAGTCATGATGGTCTAAACTTTATTTCATAGTCAAGCCTTAATACTGTGGCCAAAACTTTGTATAGAACCTCAAACCAGACTTTCAGAGGCTGATGGAAAAAGACATTAAAGTTAAAATTTAAAAATAAAATAAAAATGTATATTAAAAAAACCTAACAACCAAAACCAAGAATGGGCCAGTGTATGAATTAAAGAATGTGTTAATGTAGTATTGATGCCAAAATGCTGAGAAACTCAGGGCATTATGTTTCCCTTGTCACTTGGAAATAGCTCATGTTAGATCACTGTTAGAATAGACAATAGCAGCTGTATGTCAGCAGCGTGGAAAGAAAATCCCTTCTCATCAATTGATTCAACATTTTTTAATGAGGGAAAACATCTAGGAACTAGATATGGCTATAGAGAATTCTAAGAAAGCAAAGAGAAATGTCCAGTGGCTGGTTATTTCTTAATCTTTTGTTGTCTCTTAAGGATCAAATCGGGTCAAAATAGCGTGTTATGCTGAAGATATCTCAGCTCAGTCAAAAACTACACACCAGCTGATAAGAGAAGCTGGTGGAAAAGCTCTTATTATACAGTAATACATTAGGTAATAATATATTATGTAGTTGACACAGTGAGCTGTAGAAGCGTACTTGAAACAGCTGCATAAGCACTAAATAGCGTTAGGACTAAGGGATCTTTAACAAAATTACCAAATATGACCTTTTGAATCACTATGTACGTGTTGGCAATGGAAGCATCATAGGAAACTTGGATAGGTGAAACATTGAGTAAATAGAAGAAAAAAAAAAAAATCACTATGTACGTGTTGGCAATTGAAGCATCATAGGAAACTTGGATAGGTGAAACAGGAAAACACTTAGCTACTTTAAATTTGAGAATCTAATATTAGCTGTCTGTCTGTTCTCTAGTCAATGGAGAAATCGGCACCTGCAGAGTGTGATTCATTT